CTTTGTGATCAGCTCTGTAATTAGTAGAATTGAGGTTTATCATTCTTGGAATCAATGTTTGAGGGTATAGATGCTCCATAAGTGTATTCAATTATTGGTATGATTATAATTCACAATTTATTTCCATAAAAATAAAAGACATTTGAATGCTTGATAACATGACAAAGACACACAGCTGACTGCCCAAAAGAGATGGTGCTAACTCTTTATTAGGTATCAATTAGAAAGAAATTCAACGAATGACGATAAAAGTGATAGATTCCCTGTTGAATCTCAAATGAATGATAACATTGAAGGAAGTAAAATGTAGTGGGTTGTAAATTCTTGCAGTAGTATACTTCTTGGATTTCAAAAGACCTGCACAATTTACTGATCACATTAGCAGATGGATAATATTACATATATTATATATATTATTAGATATATTTACAATATGTACAACATACATCAGTATGATGCCGATTTGAACGATGTGGAAATACTAACAAATGTAATGCAGCCAAAATAGTATAGCAGATGTTTCAGTTTTGGTATATAAGATTGGCATGTCATTGTTTTTCATATGTAGAGGACATCAGAGTTCGCTTCTTAGTAGCGAAGCTTCTTCATTCAAAAACCCATAGTATAGGGAGACTGATTCAGTTTATTCTCCCTATTAAGCAAAAGTGTCAAAATGAAGTGAGGGAGTTCCTGTAATTAGAGAATTTAAAGTCTATCAGAAACTGAAAATATGGCAATACATCGCAAAACAGGTTAAATATTGACATCCAAAGTGGCACATCTTTAGTACAGAAACTGCAAAAGAGCAAATGGAAATTTCAGAAAAAAAAAATACATGGTGAGTTAACGGGGGGGCGGGGGGTGGGGGGAGATGATCACCCAAAATGAGTAACACTTTGAAGGAAAATTTACATGGCCATTAGTTATCAAAGAGTAAGAAATTCAAGGATTCACGATAAAAGTGATAGATTCGCTGTTGCATCTCTTTGTGATCAGCTCTGTAATTAGTAGAATTGAGGTTTATCATTGTTGGAATCAATGTTTGAGAGTATAGATGCTCCATAAGTGTATTCAATTATTGGTATGATAATAATTCACAATTTATTTCCATAAAAATAAAGGACATTTGAATGCTTAATAACATGACAAAGACACACAGCTGACTGCCCAAAAGAGATGGTGCTAACTCTCTATTAGGTATCAAATAGAAAGAAATTCTACGAATGACGATAAAAGTGATAGATTCCCTGTTGAATCTCAAATGAATGATAACATTGAAGGAAGTAAAATGTAGTGGGTTGTAAATTCTTGCAGTAGTATACTTCTTGGATTTCAAAAGACTTGCACAACTTACTGATCACATTAGCAGATGGATAATATTACATATATTATATATTATTAGATATATTTACAGTATGTACAACAGACATCAGTATGAGGCCGATTTGAACGATGTGGAAATACTAACTAATATAATCCTGCCAAAATAGTATAGCAGATGTTTCAGTTTTGGTATATAAGATTGGCATGTCATTGTTTATCATATGTAGAGGGCATCGGAGTTCGCTTCTTAGTAGCGAATCTTCTTCATTCAAAAACCCATAGTATAGGGAGATTGATTCATTTTATTCTCCCTATTAAGCAAAAGTGGAAAAATGAAGTGAGGGAGTTCCTGTAATTAGAGATTTTAAAGTCTATTAGAAACTGAAAATATGGCAACACAAAGCAAAACAATTTCAATATTAACATCCAAAGTGGCACATCTTTAGTACAGAGACTGCAAAAGAGCAAATGGAAATTTCAGAAAGAACAATACATGGTGAGTTAACGCGCGGGGGGGGGGGGTAAATCACCCGAAATGAGCAACACTTTAAAGGTAAATTTATATGGCCATTAGGTATCAAAGAGAAAGAAATTCATGGAATCACGATAAAAGTAATAGATTCGTTGTTGCATCTCTTTGTGATCAGCTCTGCAATTATTAGAATTGTGGTTTATCATTGTTGGAATTAATTTTTGAGAGTATAGATGCTCCATAAGTGTATTCAATTATTGGTATGATAATAATTCACAATTTATTTCCATAAAAATAAAAGACATTTGAATGCTTAATAACATGACAAAGACACACAGCTGACTGCCCAAAAAAGATGGTGCTAACTCTCTATTAGGTATCAAATAGAAAGAAATTCAACGAATGACGATAAAAGTGATAGATTCCCTGTTGAATCTCAAATGAATGATAACATTGAAGGAAGTAAAATGTAGTGGGTTGTAAATTCTTGCAGTAGTATACTTCTTGGATTTCAAAAGACTTGCACAACTTACTGATCACATTAGCAGATGGATAATATTACATATATTATATATATAATTAGATATATTTACATTATGTACAACAAACATCAGTATGATGCCGATTTGAACGATGTGGAAATACTAACAAATGTAATATAGCCAAAATAGTATAGCAGATGTTTCAGTTATGGTATATAAGAATGGCATGTCATTGTTTATCATATGTAGAGGACATCGGAGTTCGCTTCTTAGTAGCGAATCTTCTTCATTCAAAAACCCATAGTATAGGGAGACTGATTCATTTTATTCTCCCTATTAAGCAAAAGTGGCAAATGAAGTGAGGGAGTTCCTGGTAATTAGAGAATTTAAAGTCTATTAGAAACTGAAAATATGGCAACACATAGCAAAACAATTTAAATATTAACATCCAAAGTAGGCACATCTTTAGTACAGAAACTGCAAAAGAGCAAATGGAAATTTTAGAAGAACATACATGGTGAGGTTAACGGGGGGGGGGTAAGTCACCCAAAATGAGAAACACTTTGGAGGTAAATTTATATTGCCATTAGGTATCAAAGAGAAAGAAATTCAAGGAATCACGATAAAATTGATAGATTCGCTGTTGCATCTCTTTGTGATCAGCTCTGTAATTAGTAGAATTGAGGTTTATCATTGTTGGAATCAATGTTTGAGAGTATAGATGCTCCATAAGTGTATTCAATTATTGGTATGATAATAATTCACAATTTATTTCATAACAATAAAAGACATTTTAATGCTTAATAACATGACAAAGACGCACAACTGACTGCCCAAAAGAGATGGTGCTAACTCTGAAGTAATGAAGCTGCTCAATTGTTTTAACTAAAAGAAGCTAATTCAAAAGTAATAATCAAAATAGCATATTTGCACGCCATAGAGATGTTAAACATAAATAGAACAAAATTGTGAAATTTGAAAGCAGATAAGAGCAAATGCAAAAGATTGTGAAAGCTGGTCTGAATTAAAGTAAATGCTCTATGATTGGGATTTCTGAAAATGGATAAAGGGAAATAGGAAGAAATTTACAGTATACCACTTGAGAGGTCTTTGCAATTATAACTTTGAAGGAAGACAAATGTAGTGGGTTGTAAATTCTTACAGTAGTATACTTGGTGGGTTTTAAAATATCTTTCCTCTAACTGAAAAGAACATACATTAACCATAAACAATCAGTAGAAATATCCAATTAATTTTAATTTTAGTGAAAACGTCTATGAAGATAGGTGTAGTTCAGTGGCTATCTTATTTTGACTTCACTAATGAATTTCTTTGGACAACTATTGAGGCAAATGAAAGCAAAGACATATAAAAGCTATGAATATTGAACGTGTGAGGATACAACATATGTGACAAATCAGAATATGTTTACGTCTACAACGAAATAGAGAGAGATGTAAAAGCAAATCTATCTACAATGCTAAAAGAAAATGCAAATCAAACAGGAGAAAAGTAGAGCTCAAAGTTGTACCCAAATTTTAGATTAAAAAGATCTTCATATACCAGAAAGAATTCGGATCTAAAATTTGAAAAAATCGAACAAATTAAAATCAGTGAAAGCACCAGAGGAATATACTAAGAAAGAGGGAAAAAAAGATGCTCTAGGCAAGAGAAATTAGGAATCGGAGAAAGAGAAAATGATGGAGCAAGCATGTAAATTGACCTTAAATCATGAAGAAATACTTGGGCAGGGCATCGCAAACAAACAAAAATCTTGAGGAAACCTTAGTACTACCTTTAGTACAAATTAAAGATGCAGTGTTCGTCCCTTTTAACTCCAAAAGGGGCAAATTACTGTACAATTAGTACTACCTTTAGTACAATTAAATGATTCTACCTTTACTTTTTAAAACTGTGTTGTTGCTTTTTACCAGAACTTTTTGAAATACTTCTAAATATGTGGAATTGATAATTATTGTGACTTATAGTTTGGTGTGAAAGTGAGATGTAGACTGACCTTTTACACCTTTTTGGTTGGTGTGGGTGGTTCAAATTTTGGCGTCGCATTTGAAGAACCAGCTGCAGTAGTTGTTGCTATCACATCAACCTCACTTATTTTCAAAGGCCTTATCTTTTTAGAATTCCTATCAGTAGTGCTCTGTGGAGTATGTTCCTTTTCCATGTAGGAAAGAATGGACAAAGTTGCATGCGTGCTATTTGAGCTGCACCAAGATGACTTCCTTAGCTCAATTTGGAATACTTTGTTTGACAACATCTGATGGACATTATCAAGAGACAATGATTGCTGCTGTAAATGTAAAGAGTCACAACAAACACTTTAGAACTAAGCATATATGGCAAATTGTTTCTGCTGAAGATATATGGTATTGTGACAATACATGTGTATAAGTAGCCAGCGGGAATGAGAGATCACCTTAGTGCAAGTTATATCAAATATGTCTTCCGCTGTCATGGAGAGTTAATTTTTCTCCCAATTCAGCAGAGATAGATGCTGTGGTTGTAGCAGTACCATCAATAAGATCAATTTGAAAGATACACCTGAAATGATGGCAAGTTTGAAATTTGTGTATAATATACGCTATATTTTGTACAAAGTGTAATTTACAAGTCAAAAGTATAGTACCGAGGCACTAATGCAGTTTTTCGATTGCATTTTGGACATTCAAAATCCTTTCTATCCTTTGTGCGCTTCTTCTGTTTGTATCCTGAGCATTCAAGCACACAAAACTCTTAGAATTCATCTAATATGGCCATTTCTGCTTCAACATAGAACACTCCCATCTGTCGAAAAATATCATATCCATAATACGTGTTAAATTACTCATGAGTAAATATAATTTGTTTTTATTATTTAGGCAAAGCTAGAGAATGAGAAAATAAGTAAGCATACTCTCAAATGAGCAACTTCAAGTATGACTTACAGAAGGTGCTGATGAGATTTCTGCAACAGAGATAACTTGTTGGCCAATAGGAGTGACTATCATGGGAGTGACAGATGAGCTTGTTGAGGCTTTCTCTGACGCACGACTTAACAACATTGTTTTGTTTTCTTTTGCCCTATTGTTACAATAGATAATATGTTGAGTAGGTTTTTTACATGCAAAATAAAGTTACAGAATAATGATGAAATGTGAGTACCAGTTGATGAGTTTTACTGCTTGTGGGTAATTAGGATTCACACGTACTGTGGAATTGAACCTAGTCTGCAGTGACAACCCTGTATAACACATAGCTTGTATAATGTTTTGTTATTATCTAAAATTATCTTGGTAAAAAGTTCAGTGCATATGTACCTTGAAAAGTAGAGATTCCTATACTCCTTCCGAGGATTACAATCAGATCTGCCTCTGTTGCCATTTTAGAGGCAATTTCATGTCCTTCTATTTCTCCGAAATCCTCCCATAGAGTGAGGAGAAACTGATTTTTCCTGAGAGCGTGAGAACATAAGGAGAGAAGAGTAGGTACCATGATAACGTTCAGACCATAATTGATGATGCAATCAGACAAATGGAAAAAGTGGTTACTCATTCAAAATATTTGCAGAAAATGGGAAAATAGAAGGTGAAATCTTATACTTACCGATTGTCACAAAGGGTAATTTCTCGACACCTATGATGACTGCGACCTGCGTATTTTTGAGGACCACAACGAAGAACGATTGCCAGTATAGCTGCATATATAATACATAATGACCAACTTTCCAGGACGACACAACATTATCCTAAGAGAGCGCGTTAAGCTATCCACAAAGATAACACATATAAACAACCTACAAAAACACTCAGGTTGCTCTATAATAATCAAATTACAAAACTACAAGGATTAATGGGTATACAGTATCGTAGATGATCAAGTTAAGCTCTCAACAAATACAATAAAAATCCTGAGATTGCTCTAAATAATCAAATTTCAAAATCACATAGATTGACAACACCACAAAACTGTAGAAGATCCCATTAAGATATTTACTAAGACCAAAAAAAAAAAACTAAGATTGCTCTAAACTAATCAAATTTCAAAATCAGAAAAAGCATGAAACTAAAGTATCTTAGATGATGACATTAAACAATATAGAAAGAGAATACAGGAAAATAAAAAACTCTCTTCAAACTTGCATTGGAAGAATTTCTTATGAGTTCACCGAGAAAGTGTTGATAATAAGACTGAGAAACTGATTACCCTCAGCCTGGAAAGCAAACGTCTCTCTGTCCGCCATTTTTTGTGTCAAAGTTACAATCTCTAATAAAACAAAAGAAGAAATATAAAAAATCCAAGATTGAGCAAGTTAGCAGTCATAAATAGAAATTAACATAGCAGTCATGTATGTTGCAAAACACTTACTTAAAAACAATACCGTATAATATATTTTAGCCTGATAATAGCTATTAGGATGGATATACCAATTTCAGCAGCAGAATCAACCATCAGATGAGGAATGCGGTCAAAGGTTGTGATATTCAGCTTGGTTGGCGGTGGAAGTGGTTTTCAAGTTCATTAGATGGTTTGATATGTTCAATTACTGTTTCTTTTTCAAGAATCCAGTAAAATTTATGTATTGGCTTGCCGTATGAAGTTGGCGAGACTTTGACTCTTGCGGTAGAGATGAGGTAGGTATTGATGAGTTTAAGCTTATCTGCATACTGCTCAATTTCATCAGCATACATAACTGCCTTAATCTGGCATTCCTGAGAGTAAGAGTTATACACAGCTGAGATTAACTAAGTTGAGAATAACTGTAGCTGCTTACCAACGGGCAAATGTAGAAAAAAATGTTCAGATGAGGTAAAAAGAAAAAGAGCAATAATTTCATAAGATAAAATATAATAATGAGCTGACCTCTTCATCTTCCAAAATCAAATTTTGGAATCTACATTTCTTGTCAGGGCTTTCTCGCGGGCGTCCCATTTCGACAATTTGAACTTTGCAAATCCAATCTCGTGTTGCTAATTCTATTCGGTAGATGTTCAATCTTAGTACCATTTTTGTAGGAAATATAGCTAACCAAATAGTAGTATCTGTAGGATAACATGAGTATTCAGTCAAAGTCCTATCTTTTTTGTGTTTTTATGAACATGGTGATTAAATTAGGAAGATGCAACAACATAATTGCTCTCCACATACTAAAAGTCAGATATATTTTGGCAGAAAAAGAGAAAGTGCAAAAACATCTTAGTACATAAAAAATGATTATTATTTTATCAAGAGTACATAAATAAAAATAACTAATGCAATCTAGTTTGTTGGGTAATCCAATAAGTTTCATGAGTTTAGATGGCTCTACTCCTTGTTTTGTTCTGAACCTAAAGCGTTGTTATAATTTCAACTTCTATTTTTGAAACTTAGTACAAACTTCTGCAGGATTAAATTAAATTACATGATCTGAATACAATTAAGTGCACTGAAAGAAGAGATGGAAAGTTTTGGTGATTGAGCTTATCCCTCAAACATAAATGTAATTATCACTCAATTTAGACATACATCGAAAATTAGGAAGTTGTAAACTGCTTGTAGAAGGATAGCAAAAACATTTGGCAGATTATTACAGGTCAGAAAATGTGTAACATACTGTGTCTGAATCTCTGATATCTTTCCTATTCTGATACAAAGTAAAGTTTCATGCTACTATTTAAAATTTCTATTAAAAGAAACCAAAAAAGAAGACAAAAGAAAATAGCTATCGTACGAAAATTAATTGAGATGTATACAAACTTACAGCAAAGGAAGAAGCAACCCAATTTTTTTTTTGGGTTATTATAAACAGTGAGAGTACAGTCTCACCAATACAAAGACCTAAGATAAACACAAAGATAGAGAAATGTTAAAGCCTGCATGGATAAATTAGTAATCGAGATATAAAGGAGATAGAAAACTTAAGTATTGGGAATTTGGAAAATCTCCCTGTAAGGTGCCAATAACTGAACTCTAAGATGTCATGATGAGGAAAGGGGAAGCAATAACTTAAAAAGGCATTTTAAAGATACAAGCTAAGGGAAAGAGAGTTCTATGTGTATGTCTGGATGCATATTACTGATGTTGTTAAAGGGGAAAAAAATACCTGAGAAAGGGAGCAAAAGTTTGTCTTCAATGGAAGCCTATTAAATTTGTGATGTATGAGTAATATATAAATATATATTACCTTACCCTTATTTTATTTTTAGAAATTAGAAAGGACAATAAAACTACATGTGTCTTCTTAAAAATTAATGGGGTTTTGGTTGCCAATGAAATTGTGCCAAAAAAGAGACAAAATCATTACATTTGACTACCAAATGTAATGATTTTGTCTCTTTTTTGGATTAATTTTTAAGAAGACACATGTAGTTTTATTGTCCTTTCTAAATAAGGGTAAAAAATATCTATCTATCTATCTATCTATCTATCTCTCTCTCTATATATATATAGAGAGAGAGAGACAGTTGGAGAGAGAAAAAGTGGTCATCTGGGTATTAGGAAAAGTGGCAAGTGCGTTGGTATAGACATAGTTTGCAGGAAAAAAAGAACACGCGTTAAGCAAAAAGGCTTATGAAAAGTAAAAGTTGATCCATAACCAATAAATAAGTACACGCTTATAGTACCAGTAAGAAAACCTTGGGTACAATATCGAATTGCAGTGTTCGTCCTATCCTTGCATTGGAACAAATTAAAGGATAATTAATTGACTAACCTTTTATAAACGGTGTGAAGATTCAGATTCAATAACTGATCGCAGTATCTCCTGCTGAGCGGCTTCACCTTTTTAGCGTTTCTCTAGTTAATGCTTGATGGGAAAACATGTTCATTTTCTATGTACGATAGAACTGTTAGAATTTATGCGGATGACTTTGTCAGCAGAATGCAGAATAGTCTATTTGACTATATCTGTTGTACATGATTAACGCATAGTAGGTGGTGGTGAAAACAAAAAGAAAAAATTGTAAGATTTAAATATCGTATGTGAAAAGGTTAGAATAAATATTTATAGGCGTTTACATGGTAGGAATGATTCAACTGGCTGCACAATTGTGGCAGAAATAGCCAAACAAACATGTATAAAGTATGCTGATACGTATAAATAAAGGAAACCTTGCCATAGGTTGTGCCAAATATGTCTTCTACTTTCAAGGAGAGGAATTTTTCAGCTAGATGACCAGAAATACATGTTGTTTGCAAGCTACTGGCAACAATAAGATCAACTTGGAAGGTACAACTGGAACCATAGTGAGTTAATAGTTAAAAATATTGCACATATATGCTCGATTTTGTTGAAAGAGAATTCATGTGTATGGCATGTGATATTAGCATTATTACCACAATGTAGGGAACTCCAATTGCAGAGGAAAATGAAAATTATGTCTATATTACTCTATTCCATGAATAAGCTGAGGAAGTGTATATATATGTCTTCTCTAAATTATGAAGAAGAACAAGTTAAGAGTTGCAGTAAGAATATTTTATTTTGTCCTAAGAAATGAAAATAAGACAATGTATGGTCTAATTGAGTCTATTCTTTAAATATATGAACTCTCTCTTTCAAATGATGACATATGAAATACAGAAAAGCAGAGAAAGCTAGTGTTTACAATGAACATGTGTTCTATAGTCTTAAATTATAAGCAAACTAAATACTTGAAACATATAATATGATACTGTGCAAAAAATGAATGTAAGATTGCATATTATACACCTGTCACTAATGAATATTTTCACTGCCTTTGCCTTTTCTTTTACTGCATCCGAAACTTCAGTCATAGTCCCTCTAGCTTTCCCCCACAGTAAGCCAAATTCATAAATGTGTATTTCACATTATTAGGGACTTTAAATGTCAATGATCCGAGCCTATATCATTACGGGCAGAATTAAGTATACTAAGTGGAACAAAAATGCTAAAGCTTTGGTGTATATTTGAAAAGTAAATAAATTAAGTTGTAAGCAAATATAGATATCTAGTGAGCTTAAAGCAACAAGCAAAAATAAAATGCACTGACAAAGAAGATTAGTTTTTCACCAAACTTGAAATGTAAATTTAGAGAGAATATGCTTAAGAGGAAAAATGTGTGCTGCTAAACCATTCAAGAACATTCACCAAAGGAGATAGCATATCACAATTAAAAGGAGTATTAAACTTCCATTCAAATCTGGAGTACAAGTCACTTTCCGTAAGAAAAATATGAAAATAAAATTGATGCGTTAGAATAGAGGCACAATCCAACTTTAACAATTCTTATGATTTTAGTGTCCTTTCTAAATAAGGGTAATATCTATCTATCTATCTATCTATCTATCTATCTATATATATATATATATATATAGGCCTGACAAATGTATTACAGATATAAAAAACCTCAAAAAAAAACTCATACTGCTCTAAAATAATGACATTTTAAAATCACAGAGAGCCATAACAGTATGTAGAATATCGTAGAAGATGACTTTAAGCCTATAAAATAAGTGAAGTTAAATGTAGGAGAATTCCAAATTTGATGTATGAAGGAAAAAGGAAAGAGTCTATCTTACTTAAAAGTGAAAAAAGGGGAAGTTTCTGTCTTAATTTCACTTGTTTGAACAGGCTATTAACGTGCAACGTGCTATTTGTGGGTTGTTAATTAATCAATTTGAAAAAGAGGAATGGACCATGACAAATAATTGGTGGAAGGATTAGCCCTCATAACTCCCAATATATGTCGAACAATGGATCTAAAAACACTTAGAAATTAAGTA